TTGGCAGGAAGTTGTAAGGTATAGCTGTTATGGATGTATTACTGACAGTAAGTAAGTAAGTTAGTAATTAAGTATTAGAGTAATAATAACACAGGGGATACCTTCCAACGTTCATCCATATATGAAGCTGACTTGGATAGTAGTCTAGTAGTAGTTATGAGCTACAACCCAACATAAGCAAAAAAACAGCACTAACTAACTTATGTTAGCTACCTCCAAGATATGTTAAAAGAAATATGCACACAACTCGGCACCCGATCACCTTATGCACCTGCTACATGTGACATCTATCCAAGACCTCTTATCCCACACACCCTTACCTACTACTCCATCCCACCTGCAAAGATCATCATATGGTATTTACTAGTTACTCCAGAACAATGAGGGGAATGCGCGGGGTAATCAGTAGTAGCTCCAAAGTAAATTATGTATTAACTGGACAAGGATGCCCGCAGCTCAACCCCCAGGTAGTTTCAAGCACAAAGTAGTACAAACCCGTCACACAGACCAGCCACCTGGTTGCTAACTATGTATCTGTACATGCATGGATATAAGGGGGGAGTACAAGGAGACGATCATCACCTCTGCTATCCCATGCACCTGATCGTGTGATGGTAGTATTCATATTTTAGTGTTGGTGTGCTGTGCTTAGCTTGGTTGCTGTGTTGCTGTGTTGTGTTGTCCCTGCGCACCGGGGGGGTGGGTGGTGTGTGGGATGGATTTTGACTCCAATTCGGGGTTTAAGCATACTACTACAACAAAGAACGGGATGGGGCATGCAGGAGGGGTTGTATAAAAAATTGGAGAAATTCTCCAATACTTGAGTACGTTACTTATATGAGATCCATCCTATTCATAGAATGAATACTTTTCTCCCACTGTAGTTGTAGTAGTCAGTAGGGGGATGGTGGTCAACTACTTACAAAAAATCACAGCATCCGTCCACACACACACCAACACTAAATCCAGCATAAACTTAATCCTCCCTATAATATGCATTATATTTCCCCCTCCCTCCCCCATTCTAGCCCGTAAACAACTATGATCAACATGCCAAGCTTCACCGGAAAACTACTGTCGGTGCCCGAGAGCGAGCGAGAAGAGAGAGCCCTGGTATTATTACAGTATACGAAACATTTCCATTGTGTTTTGATACCGTATATATTACTTGTAGAAACATACGGTATTTACCGGGTTTTGGGCTGGAAACGGATACAAGATGTAATTATGCACAAATTATGCAGTCTGCTCCGGTCCTCGTGTATCCTACATTACTATACCCTAAGATATATGCATATAGATATAAGATGAATCTTATACTATACACGCGCACACTGTATAACATAACCAATCCAGCTAAATTGATCCCCCTTTCCCCCCCTAACATTCTCCAGAGTTATTTCCGGTATCTTGATACCATCGACACTACTCCTCCCCAATATAGAAGACTGATTGATTACTGTGTATATCAAACGCTAGAACCCAATAGCGGGATTCCAGAAACTCTTGGCAAATAATCAGGAACCACCATATTCCACCTATACATACACCCACGATGAGTGAATTTCTAGATGATCCCTAATCAACACTATACCTCCTACCAGCCACATTTGAGTAGTATACAAGTTTAATTTCTTCCCTGAATGAATAGCTTGCTTGGCTCAAACTTAAGCTGCCGCCAATGCTGATTAATGCATTATCATCATTAGTAACTCCCTCAGCCAGCCATGGAAACTTCCAGTCCCGGGACGGAGACCTTTTTTTTTTCTTCACTAGTGAGTCAATGTAGCAGCAGCACGGAGACTTTTCTTTGCTCAAACTAACTAACTACATGCTAACTAGTCTACACACACTCACACGGAGAGGCAAGAACCACTGCGGATATTGCGGATATAACGGTCCAATCCCGGTGCCTGTATACCCGCACCTTAACTAGGAGAGGTTTTGGGTTAGGTCGGTTGGTCCCATCTGTACAGTGCGCGGAAAATGATTTAATTGATTATTGCTAGTTTAGTCTGACAAAGCCCGATCTGGTAATGGGCGTGGATCTCCACATACAAAATATCCACCCACCTGAGGCTTTTTCATTCCATAGAAACACCACAATTCACACTGTTTGCCTTCTGCTTCAGGTGGATCTCCTCCATAAGCCCGTTTCGTTTCAATCTGGGCTTTGCTCTTGCTTGCTAGACCCGCTTCGGATACATATCACGGGTGATAAGGATAAATCGGCACGCTGTGATCATGTGATGCTATGGAAAATCGGATGATTGCCAAGACATTTTTTTCAGACCAAAAAGAAAAAAAAATTATTGTCGAGATTTTTCTGGCTAGTACATATTAGATCAGCGGAAAAAAGACGGAGAGTTCCGTAGTTCTAGATAGAGAATGGATGTCCCTGCCTCGGCGACGTACGTCCACGCCCATGCCGAGCCTAGGCACTAACTGATCTCTCCACCGATCGGCCGTTTATTGATTCACTGGGGCATGACTCTTTCCCGGCAGTTTACCTCGGGTTCTCGTTGTGGTTCTGCTTCTGTTTTGGTTCACTCCCTCCAGGCCTTATACACGATGGTACTACCGTACTTCTGCCCCTTCGGGAGAACGACCGTGTGCCGCCATCCGGGCTCATTGACCGCATTGACAAACCGACTGGGCTCGATGCAGAACCCCGCAAATGGGCCCCGACTCGGCTTCCCGTCGGTTTCGGGAACATCGATGCCTTGGCCCGTGTAGAATTGGAATGCCGGCTCCGTGCTGTGCACTTGCAGGTGCAGGCGCGTGTCTGAGTGCTGGAACTCGGCCAGCAGGCGGAGGGGCTCACCCCGCGTATCGAGGGGAACGCGGGACAGGTCGCGGTCCATGACGAAGACATCGTCGAATTGGTTCTGCGGGCCGAAGGTGAAGTCCTTGGTGACTTCGCTGGGGTAGGGCTCGATGGGGCCCAGTGGGATTCCACTCTCTAGTGGTAGGTAGTCCTGTGTTGATAGTTTACTGATGGTGCCTTCGGTGGTTGGGCCGCCGTTAAGGTTGAAGTAGCTGTTCGGACGGTCAATATTTTATCGCCCAATTGATGCAGTGAAAAAGAAAAAAGGGCAGACATACCTGTGGTTGGTCAAGTTAACAACCGTCTCATTGCACTCATCGCCCACCAACTCAGCCTCATATTCAATCTTCAGCACCGACGTAGTCTTGTCATTCTCCACCTCCTCACTCGTGGTATAGTAGACCCTGAACTCCACCGTACCTGGGTATCCTGCCTCTCCATCACGGCTCAGATACGTATACAGCAGGGTAGTCTTCCCATCACGGTTCAACACCGTTGGACCATCGAATTCGCAGCGACCCCATCCGCGACTACCGCCGTGCAGCGCATTGGGAGGGTCATTCAATTCGAGCTGATACGACTGTCCATTGAGATTCTGAATAACGCCGTCTTTAATGCGGTTGGCAACACGTCCGATATTCGCGCCAAACCAGGGCGAGTTGTGCTTCTCGTAGTCTTCTTTCGTGGCGAAACCCTGAACAATGTTTTGTCCGTCCACGTTGAATTCCTGGATGATGGCGCCGAGGGAGAGGAACTTGGCGGAGGTTTTGTCGCCCATTTTGACTGAGTGCGCTGAATTATTGCTTGATCTCTGATCTTTCTAGTGAGTCGGGCGTGCCTAGTGAGGGGCAATTGAAACTTTTGATGAGAAAAAGTAAGACAGTAGTCGATATATGAAGAGGGGTGGTCACTCACTTTCCGCCCGCTACCCCGCAATTCTGCTCCAACTGGAGAAGTCGCGACCAATACGACAGGGGCTCACGCTGAAGAGCTTACGTGCTTCAATCACTAGGATTGGTGCAAAGATAAGGTAGATAGACCCTTCTTACTGCGAGGTTCATTTAAACTCGGTTAAATTTCCCAGGATCCCCATGCCTGAATGCCATCTTGGGCCTTGTTCTTCTCGCATATTAGGCTAAACCGCACTTCGTAGCATGTGGTGGATTTGCCGAATCGGGTAATCTTCCGGATAATTTATGCCTCAGGCACAAATATGCCGCCATGTCAGTAGAGTGAGTAGTTCGATCATAGCTATCCATAGCTTCGACTGGATATGCTTCAATACAATCTGTGGCTGGTCGGAGCTTCATCGTATTAGTAGTTTGATACTTCGTACTAAGGTTGTGTCCTAGACATCGTGATCAAACTAGTCCCTTGGCTTCACTACCTGCCATTCCTTCCGGCGGGATACTGCTTACGCTATAAGAGGAGCAGCGTGGGATGGATCGAGAGTTAGCTAACTAGTAGTCGGCATCCCACTCTCTCCCTCACTCCCATCCACAAGCAATATTCGGGGTCCTACATCGAACAAGAAATGGGAAGCTACCATCCCCGTCGCTAAACTACAGTGCACGATCACTTCCCAAGGGTCCCCGCAAAATCATGGATGGTTAGCTATCTGACACAGTAATGACTCATTCGGAAGGGCTTGCGAGATGCGCCAATTTGACCGTTGAACGGCTGCAGGGACCAAGCTCCTAAATCCTTAATACTATAACCTAAGTTGATAGTTACTTAATAGTAAAATAACAAGAGATCTAACTCAGTGGGAGGGCCGTAGGTGGGATTAGGTTACGAGATGGATTAAAAACAGACAAAACAGCGAGACAGACCGTAAATAACCGTATGTCACGTCATACCATAACATACTGCCAACTTCTACTAGCGCCGGATGACAATACGCGCAGGTCCGAAACGTGGAGTTAAGGCGAACAACCGCTCCGAAGCTGACAAGAAGGTTCCATCAGTCAATTGAACTTACGGTCACTCAACTAATCAATTCCAACCGTAACTAACTGAAACCTCGGGTCGGCCTCCGCGGAGCTTGGGGCTTCCGTGCCGAGTCCGTAATCCGCTGATTCAGCGCTTTTAACCCAAGTGTGGAAGCGAGAACGAGATACTTTGCTCTTATTTATTATTCAATCGCAAGAATAAATGTATTGGAATAGAATGGGATAGTGTGAACCAAGTTTCATCTATAATTGAGACGATCTTTTTCTTCACTCCTCTGTGGGCTCAACCCCTAAGAAAGTCCATACTGTGGCGGCACTCTTGCCACCTAAGCAGCCCTATCTTGTAATAGTAGCTCTTTGCTTTTTGATAATCCCGTCCCTACATACGGTAGTTGATTAGTACTTGATTTAGCCACGGCAATTGAAATAGGTATAAAAATGCTTTTGCTGGGCATTAATCTCATCCCATTCTTGCATTTGCATTTGCAACCTGGCTGAATTGGCATATGCCATATGGCATATGACCTCGTAAGAAGCACAACACTAGATAGAAATCGCGCGGCCCCCGGGAATCGCAAGAACCGTTGCATCGGCATTCGGCATTGCTAAAATGAACCCCTTAAGTAAATAAATACTACACAACACTAAGAAGTACCGGGAACCCCCCTATACCATGCATTGATAGACAGCCGGGTCCAGTGCCATTAGAGTAACTCCGAGAAGTGGTCTCCGGGAGTAAATGAAGGCTTTGTACCAATAGGACATGTGATGACAAGCATGCAATGGGTGGCTTTGGAAATCCTGATCTCAGCATGAGTTCAGGATTAGAAATCCGTCGATCGGGCTGTGCTGTGTAGTGGCTGAGCGGTCTAACCCCATATCAAAGCGTCCATTGTCCACTTGACAACAACATTACCACACCCTGATGTGAGCGCTGCATGCAGATGTTCTGGGGAAAGTGTGTGTTGGTGGTCCGCAATGACTACTGACTAGTCCACAGTAGTGGTGATGCAGTGACCTACTGACGGGCCCCCGGGGGTGCATTACCCGTTTGAGAGTCACTAGCCCTCCCATTATCTGGATGATTATTGCCAGACAAGACAATTGCTTTTGTGTCTTAAAAGGGGGCTGACTGGATCCCATCCGTGCTCTACTCCGTAGATGTACTGCAGTTAACCCTCACAGTCCAGTCTTGTCGGGAAGAGGGACCATGAATGGGGCTATCTCTCCATTTTGGGGAACCAGTGTCTATCACCTGGATCAGGGAGACGGAGCAGAATTAGGGAGATGGGGACCGTGAAGAAAAGAAATTAAAGGGAAAAAGAAAATCAAAAATAAGAAATTGTAGTTCTACACGTGGAACGACAGGAGATGGACAGCTTCCATTGCCAGTTGAATATCACGTCGAATCCTCCGTAATCCGGAGGGAAATCAAGGTTCAGTCCCTTCCTGGCAAAGAGTGGGCGTATTCCGATGGGAACTCGGATGTCGAACCAGGTAAGCGATGCTATTGCCTGGGCACTGGCACACCACTGACACACGGTCGGGAGGTCGGCATTTCGGCCTGTGTGCTGGTCCGCCCGTAGCTGACCAGCAATATCCACTCAACTGTCTATCCACAGAACCAGATGAGGCAAAGGCTCCATGGAAGGAAAGAAGAGACGGAAATAAGAGAAGAAACCACAGGAAAAGGCAGCAATGGAAAAAAAAAAACCTCTCCCCCTTCCCACTCATCGCTCCCCACTAGCGGGTGTGTGGGCTGGGCTGGGCTCCGTCGTGCCAGACCCAAACATCAAATTGGGCTCCGTCGTATCGAGGGTGGAGACTTTTGGACCCTCTTCGTTTTTTCATGGGGATCCATCGGCCAGGAAGACTTGTTGTTCATGAATTTCTTGTTCAGTGATCAGGTTCCCCCTCTTGACCACCACAGGGAATATTGTTGCAGGAGGGCAGTAGGGTTCACTTGACGTGTCACGATCTACCTCGTATCCCCATCGGGGGCGCGTGAGTGGTCCAGCCAGTCCAGATGTGGCCGGAGATAAGGTAGAGCTGTCACCGGCCTTTAGGATTTGATTATCCATGACGTCCTCCATCACCGCATTAGTCACTCGTGAGCGGTTGGAACGTCATCTGGGCTTAACGAGCAGAGAAAAAAGGTTCCTGGCCTCGGCAGTCGGTCTCCGTTGGCCGATACGCCCTGCGCCCTAGGCCAAAGTTCGGCCACTTCTCGGACAAAGGTTGAAGTAAACCAAAGTAAATAAGAAGAATCGAGAATAGATTGTATATTTTCAATGTCGGAGACATAAGAATGACATATAGAACATCCGAAACTAGAACCAGCATCGGCAAGTATCCACGCAAAAGCATCCGCATCCAAGTAAAGAGAAAACCAACCGTCCTGCCTGTTCAAGCCTTCCAATGTTTTGTGTAAACTCCAACTCCAAAACACCTCGGCGCCTTCATCATCAAAAAAGTATAAACCAAAATAATATGTAGAGGATGCTGTCCCCACAAGAAGAGAATAAAAAAGAATGTGATGCCAGTCACCCAAAAGAATCCAACACTGTACAGCTGATCAATTACCCTTCTTAATGAAGGGGAGTGCTGCCATATGTTCAAAAAGTAGTCCAAATGTCGAAATGTAGCATGTATATAATACACGCGTTACGTCGTACGGCGTATGCAAAACAAATGTCAGACAAACGAGAGACATTAATATGCTAAATTTCGTCGTATCGAAGTGATCTCAGGTCGATGCGATCTCGGGCGCATTGGCATTCAAGAACTGATTGATGTCTTCATAGTCGCCTTTGGTGTCCATATACGACGAAGAGGAAAGCATGCAGCTCATCGGTAATTGACGGTTGAACATCGGCGAGGGAACCTGATCGTCAAAGGACAGATTCGTATAATCGGATGCGCCTATTAGATCCATATCGTCGAAAGCGCCAAAGTTATTGCTGGGCCACTGTTGCGGGGTCTGGAGGGCGAGGGGATTCACGACGCCTTGCATGGTCATGGGCGCAACGAAGGCGGGATTTGTCGGTGCCATTTGAGGCTCTGATTTGATAGTGGGGCCTTGCGTTTGGGATGGTGTGCTAAAGCTGGATTGCGTACTCGAGAGCTGACGAGCAAACGGGTCTGAGAAGCGGGAGGGCATGATAGGCGACTGCGCACTTTCTGAGCTACCGTCGGATGACTCCTGGCGTTGCATGTGTCCGGAATTCTGCCTCCAGAGATCTTGCTGCATAGCCTCAGTGTTCTCTCCGAAGCGCTCACCCTTGGTCTGGTCCAAGGCGCCAAGTCGCGTAAGCAGATCGTGTGTTAAAGGATGGCCGTTGGGCTCGCATTTCAAGGGCTCTCCCGGCCAGCCTTCGCCCTCCAAGGCGCGACGGTACATTTCTTGCAGGCCTTTGACGAGCCACGTTTGTTGCTGTTCAAGCATCTCGACATAACTAGAGGCGGCGGTAAGCCAGGTTAGCTATTGATACAACATGTCGGTTAGGTGCAAGCTCACCCCTTGGGGTACACTTTGTCGTGAGCCTTCTTCCTCTCGCCAAAGACACAGATGGCATTATCTGTCCTGCACCGACCACATGGGTTGGATCCGTCACACTGCACCGGGTCAGTGCATCAGGACAAGCTGATGCTTGAGCATGACTTGGCTTACCTTGGATTTCTTCAGTCTACACCGATCGCATGCCTTACAGACCCTCTTTCGGACATTACCGTCCGAATGTGAGTGGTCGGATGTAGGTGATGATTGGCGTGCCGTCATTGTGCGCATATATATACTTATAGAGGTGAGGGAGGTTTGGTTGCGGGTATTGAAAGGCAGATGTGGCCAGAGAAATCAAAAGAGTATCTCCCCAGTCAAGAAAAAGGTGAAAATCAAAAAGAGTATCGAAAGCGCAAGTTCCAGTTGCGGTGGTTAGTTTTGTAGGGTAACTAGTCGGGTTTGCTTTTTCTCTGTTCTTTCGAATTTTCGTTTCCCTTTCTTTTTCTTATTGCTTTTCTTATGCCTTGTCCTCGCCTATACCTTTTTCTGTGGTGCGGTGTTGCAATGATCAGTGATCGACAATACGTAAGATTGGTCGATGATATAACGAGGCCGGATGAATAAAAGGTAAAAGAACGAGTAATGAGCAAGAGAAGGTTCAGAGGGTTGAGCCAATGCGAGAGCTCGATCGAGACAACCGCATGTAATGATTAATGATCAAGTTGAACGGTTCCAAGGACAGGATAGCGTTACAACGATCCACCGGTGGTTGGGCTAAAGGCAAGGTGCGTAGTAGTAGTGAATGGTGTGGTAAAGAGGAAGTATATCTGGGAGGGAAAAGAGGCCAGGCTTGACCAAACCGGGAGGGTCGAAGCTCTTTTAACTAGATATAAGGGAGGAGGAGTAAGACGAGGACGACGTAAAGTCAGAGTGATGATGATTGATGATGATGATAACAATAATAATTGCTACTACAGATGGGCCTGGATGATTATTTATTCGAATTAGTCTAGTCCCCATGGATTTCCTTTTTTTTTTTTTTTCCTTTTCATTTTTTTATTTTTTGATTAAAAATAATAGTAAGGTTGGCGGTCCTTCACGTAGGAATGGTCGCCGTCTTACCCTTGGGATTATTGACGCAGTCCAAAGGAACCAGAATGGATCGGGTCTGGCGGCGCTGGCCGATCATTGGCCGGCCGCTAGAGGTCTGGAGAAGATGCAGTGGGGCCCTTTCCTCTGTACGGTATTGACCTCGTATTGACCGTTCCCTCCAAACTTGCACTGTATCATTCATAACTTTTCCTGGTACTACTACATGAACTAAACCAACTGCTTGCTTGCTGCCTGGCTATCGTCACACTTGTCCACTTCCTTGGGGAGACAGCGGAAAAATCTTTCTACATGAACCGGGTTAAATTCAAGGCACATATGAATTTTAAGATTTGATCCAACGTGGTGCTCCAAAGCTTCACCTGCCTCTGCAGCCACAGCGTGTCAATTCCTTGCCCATACTATTATAAGTTGGTACCTCTGAGTGAACTGAGGTAGCGCTTTCCATACTGTGTAACCATACGTCATAACCAATACGTGGATGAACCCTGCGGCCGTTTGTATGTAAGGTATTTTACCTGATACGGAGGAACAGGTTGAACGGATAACGGAAGTAACCAGCCCAGACGGACGTGCTGATTGCCTGAATCGGCATCGGAGACTGCTTGACTCGGACCTCGGAGGTGCCAACTTCCTTTTTCTGCTTTTGCGTGCTTTGGGGAAATTTCCTCATTGAGATACATTTCCTTTTTATTTCCCTCATGTTGGGAGGGGCCCCCAGAACGATTCAAAAACCTCAATGGCCCACCTCAGGCCGTATATCCGATCGAGACTCTGGACAGGTACCTCCCATGTCTACACTCTACGGGGGTTTCCCTTCATGTACCGTAGGTGTCTGCCTTGGCTAGTGAGGCCCTACTTTTGGACTACCATAGTCTACGTAGGGTGTGGAAAAGATCTTTGGAGGAAGTAAAAGAGGGGGTGGGAATACGTGGACAATTAATCACGAGGGAGAACTTAGATAGTAGAGACTAAATGTAGGTAGCTATAGTTACGTCGCGGCCGAGGTGGTTTTACCTGCGCCGGCGTGTGTGATGTGTGAGACTCACTTGAAGCAAGCTGTACCTTTTCCGATGTTCAGGTACATCCATAGCTTTAGTTCAGAATTGCGGTAATTCTGCGATTTGATGCAAACCAGCTTAGGGGAATGACAGCCCAAGTCTGCATAGCCCGGCATTACGGCACAACAATATCCACCTTGAGTATATTTCCATAACCAAATATTTCTTTTTTCTTTTTTTTTTTTTTTTTTTTTTTTTTTTTTGCGAAGCTGACCCAGCTCGGCAAACTCATGCCGAACGGGTAGCTTTCGGAACCATGAATCCACTGTTCTGGAGCGGTATGTAAGGTGTATGGACCATCGGGTGGTGGCTCCATAATGACTACTGTGAACATTACCTGACACTGACAGGGTCAATAAACCCATCTCAATTCTCTCTCCCCCCTTTGAGCTCCATTCAAAGTGCATCGTCAAAACCCCGATTCGGCGATCAAACACGGATTCCTTTCCCCGTCCGATATCTCTGATCGCTGCTATTCTCCTAGTTCCCTCCATAGTCGTACAAGACCTGTTGATCACCAATCTTGGCGATTGGCGCTCTCCTTCGAAAGCTTAAACGGCAGACCGGATTGATTCCAATCCTTCTTTGCCACACAGTCTGCCGCCAGGTGGATGGAGCAGGGAAGGCCGAATCCCGCGTTGATCCAATCGTCGGTTCCGATTGTTGTTCGTGATCAGCTTTAGTTTGGGGTGATTCAATAGCCCGGTTAATCATTGTTCTTCCAGTTTTACTTTCCTGCCTTGAAGCAGCAGCAGCAGTAGTAGCAGCTCCTCTCCACCACGAGGTGCCGTTGGAGCTATCCGCACATGACAGTCAATGACGTTGATCATCCCTCCGATGGACCATGCCACTTGCACGGTCGCAGGTCTGATTCGATTATGCCCCTGTCATTCCCCTCCAGCTTAGCCTGTTGTGACAACAGGAAATGATTTAATTAATCCTAACAGGCTACTGCTCTCGAAGCCAGTTCGTGTTGCCGGAGTACGGTGCCCGTGTCTGGCTGGAGCTGGTTTGACCGGCACTTACCACTGGCTCAGCTCCGGGATTGACTTCATACTTGCACCACTGCCTCGGGTGCTATAGAATGGCAGATAAGGTTTCTGATCCTGCGATCAATGACCGCTGGACTATTATTTTTTATGTTGATCCATGCCCGTTTTCTACAATGTACCAATAGGTGCCCCATCGAAAATGCCGAGTGCCGCTTAATTCCCGAAGCGGCTATACTACTCGGGATTGAACCTTGCACCTGAAGCACGATCGAGGCTGGTTCTTGCTTTCAGGGGTTCGACGATTGCAGAATATGCTGCCCATAGCCAAACATTGAAAATCGATTACAGATCGCTGATACATGCTACTCTCTCGGGTCTAGACCATGCGATAGTGTCAAGCCCCGCCAGCCATGATAGCGTCATCCCGCAGTGCTCTACCAATCTTGACCCCACCACCACCACTACCGCTGCTGACATGGATGCACTCGGTTTTCCACTTCCGTCGGGATGCGGCAGGGAGACCATGTGTGCCGTGAGAGGTTGCTGATAAGATATAGCGACGCATTGTCTGTCCCTCGTCGGCCGGATTGCAGGTTAGTGTCCTGCACCGGATGAGCAAGCTCGCCGGTGACCTCATTGTTAATTAACCCATGCTCTGCTCCCGTGACAGCCATCGGGTTCTTCTAGCAGTCTCGTGTTTTCTCGAAACATGCCGATCTATTCGTCTATGCAAACTACACGTCAAGGAAGTAGACGATGGAACTTGGCATTCGTGGATGCATCAACAGGTTAACGGTCGAGATTGAAGTCAGCTGAATAAGTAGTATACAAAAGGGGGTATAATGTTGAAATGTTGATACAAAGAAGGATGGACGACCGCGATAGGCAGACCTGCAGCCTAACAACAACTCATGCGCTTCCATATGCTCGCCTTTGCAGGCTTGGATGGCTTGTTCTGCCCCGATCCTGATGCCTCTGGTTGAAGATGGCCCTTCTCGCCTGGATCCTGACGTGCACGTTTACCTCCAAAGAGCCCACGAAGACCACTCTGTCGTTTCTGTGTGCGCTTCTGCGATTCTCCCTTGCCTTCCTTGCTAACAACCGTGTCAGCAGGGGTTTTTGCAGCCGTCGAAGGCTCGCCCCTTTGAGCGGTTTGACTGGTCGGAGGACCCTTCTGGTAGTGTAGTCGACGGGCCTCGACGACCCGACGGACTAGGACTGCGAGAGTGTCAGCTTCTGGCAAGAGTATATACCTGGCTCGATAGTGGTGAGAGGCTTACGGGCAAAGGTTTCCTCGATGTTGACCATCTCCCTGGCGCTGGTCTCCATGAAACCGCAACCGTGTTTTCGGGCATACTCCAGGCCATCCCGGGAACTAATGACTCTGTTGTCTTTGAGATCGCACTTGTTCCCTGCGACGATCTTGACCGGGGGTGGCATGCCCACATCGAGGCCCTCTGCACTGGCCCCCAACTCCTTGCGCAACCGATCATTGTCCTCAAGGCGTTGTTCGGTTTCGATCTCAATCATGTCCATGAAGTAGTTTAAAGCGCCTAAGCTCGATTTGTTGGTGATGTCGTACACCAGAAGAAAGGCGTCGGATCTCAGGTTGGAAGCCGCCCATAAGCCGCGATACTCTTCCTGGCCGGCCGTGTCGGTGATGGATAGGAAGTATGGCACGCCATCGACCACGCGCGTAACCGAATATGAATCCTCTGCACGGTTCAACCAGATCGCCCGATGTCAGTAATTGTGAAACTCGATATAGCTCAGAGCAAGACCAGCAAGGAGGGTATACCGATTGTAGGGTCGTATCTATCCCGTTGCTCTGGATTAGCATGACGGACGCTTCTCGTCGACGTTTGATGATCGGATTCTATCTGTAAGACTTACTCATGAATCCACTGACTCCGCACCAGGCGCAAGGTGATGGATGATTTTCCTAGCGGCCATCAGCGATAAGGTTCTTTCGTCCCCCTTGTAGCCCCGCAGTCCCTGCGCCGGGATGACGAAAAGAACCATGGGGGGGGTTCAAGAGATGGGGTTGCACAGCATACCGCATCCACCATCGCCGCAGATGGTGATAGAGATCTTGTCGGTGGCGTCGGCCATGGTGAGGGAGTGCGGGTCGATAGATAGGTGTCGGGGATGCGCACGCGACGGCGGGTCCAGTAGTAACAAACAGAGAGAGACAAGGGTCAATGGTTGTGTAACGAGCGAATTTTGACCCTGAAGCTAGTCGGCTAACCCGATTCTCCTACCACCAACAGGTGGGTGTCTAAGTGTTTCCCTTCGCAAGAGTGTTTTGAGTCCGCGTCAAGTAGATGGAGATGCGACTGGACCCGAGAGGGGCATTACAGGGGCAGTGTGAGGCGAGCTGTGTGGTGTGTGGCCTGGCCGAACGGACAAAACACCGAGGCAGTTTCGGGGATGAAAGTGAAAGAACAGGGTATAAGAATGTGGACGAAGTTTATCTGGCAGAAGTTGCGACTCGAGTTTTTCAGGCACTGACTCGGAGTAAGGGGGAAAGAGAAGAATGGGAGAAAGGATTCCCAACGTGGGCAAATCTCAGACGCCGACGGAGCGAAGCGCCGCCCCTTTGGGGGGTCCATTTCGGTGATTGCGGATGGCCGATCACTGGGTGGTGGTGATGTTGATGATGATAAATGATCGATTGATAAGGGAGAGTAGGGTAGATAGATAAATATCTATTGTGGACCAGGAGAATATAATTGATCGGGGGAAATTAATCGTTTGATGTCAAGAAAAAACATTCAAGTGGATTTGACAGTACCATGGAGAAAATGATGAAGAGAGAGGGGGTCACCAGTACCCCGACATGCTGCAGACGCGGGCTGGAGCGTGCGGTACCTGGTACCTGTTCTAGACACATATTTAAGTAGTAAATAAATATGGGGAGTATATCAGTAATTAAATAGGCAGTAGTAGTATCAAATGCTTTATTTATAACTTTTGACAAACAAATCTCAATTTCCAATTACTTTCTACACTACTCCGTAGATACTTGTTTGCACAAAATTTCCACCACCAGAATCTCCCCCGAAGACTGACTGACTGGTCCATCTGATGCCTCCATTGTTCTTTTTTATCAAATCCCTTCCTCTCATCTCATTTAATTAACATCCTTTTCGATCCATCACACCGACCAGCTTGACACATCATTCCGGAATCTTCTGGCCTCCCGGGGTCAATTGGCCCGCCCCGCCACTCGCCCGGCTGGTTTGTTCCTGTGATCCAATCGTTCATCTTTCTTCTCTTTCTTCCTTTCCACTTGGTGTGGATAGTAGTACTACTTTAGTACTTTAGTCCTGCTCTAACCAACAAGTACTTACTGCTACTGCTACTGCTACTGCTGCACTGCGGCGAATACAATGAATGCCCCCATGTCTCACAACTGACATCCACCACCATCTCTAACTATTCCATTTCCTCTATTAATTCTCCGATTCCTGGGACACAGGAAAAAAGCAGTACTTCCTTATATATTGAGGGAACCGCCATATTATTGATTGATTTGGTGATAATTAAGTCCCGGCGCGACCAGTGAATTGCTAGTCGTTTCCACTCTTTCGTCCGTCTCTTTTCAGCTGCTCACGCTTCATTGCTTTCCGTCCCCTCTTTCTTATTTTTTTTTTCCCCATCTCAGCGTGGATTCATTCAGTTCTGTCCACGTCTGTCCACTTTATCTTCCATCGATCTCCGCTGCTTTTTCCCTGAATTATTATTATTATTTCCTACTGTTCCGATAGGCAGGGAACTGAGGAGAATCTGATTCGGGGGTTGGGGAGTAACTAACTACCTACTTACTACTCTTCCTCCCACCCCCTGGTGTTTGTGTGACTGTCTAAGGTTTAGTTGTTATTCCCTACCTTGCTTCACATCAGCAGCCCATCTCGATGCGTCTTCCTCATTGGTCTCTCGCCGCTTCTCGATTCGATCGGACGTGAAGCTGTTCCAGGATTGTTTGTTGCGGGCCATGGAAGGCTTCGACGATGCCTTCTATCAGGCACACTATTCCATACCGGATCCCCAACTGGGCCCCGCCGCATCCTCTTCTTACTCCAATGCTGCCCCCCATCCGGCTTCTTTGATGTCTTACAATCCCACTCCCGGCCATTTTGCTCCCGGTTCCTTTGCCTATCCCGCCCAGCCCTCCGATCTGCTGGCTGCTGGCCTGCCCGCGACTTTTGCTTCACATCCCGATAACTTTTCCTTTCAGTCTCCGGTTCCTCATCCTCATCCTCATCATCATGCTTCTACCCACACGGCCAGTTTCCCGGGGCATGTTTCCCACGCCATGCATCCCTACCATCCCCTGTCGGCCGCCGCGCAGACCATGCCAATGAGCTTGGATCAAGGAACTACCTTTCCTTACGATCCGGCCGTCTTTGGCGCTTCCATTGGACCGCTAGATCCCAGTCTAGAGCAGCATTCAGCGCCGCAGCAGCAGCATCCTCACCTACCTTCCCAGACCGTCCATCTGGATCCTGGCGCAGCGTACGCGGTCGCTCAGATCCAGGAGTCCGCGACAAATACCTACTGGAATCAACAGACGACTCAAGATGTCACCGCCCAGACACAGGCTGCAGGCCCGGTCCGGGGACCAGCAGCGGACTTCTCCCGCGCAAGAGGGCCGTCCCAGGATCATCAACCGCTACCTCAAAGTCAGCCCTCGGACTTTCAGTCCTATACCCAACCGGCCAATCCAGCCGTTCCTCATCGCTTCATCCAGCCGAAGAGGTCATCCCCAGTGAAGGGTGGGTTCTCCTCCAATCCAAGTCGAACCTGACCGGAAAAGCTGATGCGGGTCTTCACATCCATAAAGCCTCTTTTCCACCCGAAGCCAAAGTGGAAGCTGGAAGCGACTCTCCATATGCTAGTATCTACTCGTCAAGTGGCTTCGATATCATGGGGGTTTTGGTAGGTTGAATCTGGTCGACCGCTTCCGCAGTAGCGTTCGCGTCTGGAAGACATGCATGTGACTGACCTCTCCACTAGGCCCAAGTGGTGTCCCGACCGAACCCTAAGATCAATATCGGGGCAGTTGACTTGTCGTGCGCATTTGTCCTCTGTGATATCACGCTGGAGGACCATCCGATCGTCTACGTCTCGGAGGCGTTCGAGCGGCTCACAGGCTACACTAACCAGGAGATTGTCGGGCAGAATTGTCGGTTCCTCCAAGGGCCGGACGGGGTCGTTCAGCGGGGCATGCAGCGCAAGTTCGTCGACGAGAATACGGCCTATCGCCTGCGCTCGACGATAGAGGAGCGGACGGAGATCCAGGCAAGCATCATCAATTACCGCAAGGGCGGCCAGCCTTTTGTGAATCTAATCACCATGCTTCCGATCCGGTGGGGCGGCAGCGACTACCGGTTCTACGTTGGGTTTCAGGTGGATCTGGTCGAGACGCCCGATGCAGTGACGCGACGGAATCCGAGTATGTCCTGTATGCGTGTTTTGGCGCTGCTAAGCTAATCGTACTGTTTGCAGATGGAACCTACATGATCAACTACCAGCGCAGTCAGTTACCGAGCTATGTGGTCCCGCCTGAAGTTTACCGCTCCAATCCGGATCTAGCGACTTTCTTTACCCCTGATCAGGTGTCTACGGTGTTGGAGAGCTTGCGCGGCACCGGCCCGTCGTACCGGCATTACCTGGACCGAGTGCTGGTGGAGAACATGGACGACATCATCCACGTTCTATCCTTTGAGGGAGAGTTTCTATATCTGTCACCCTCGTGCCGGAAAGTGCTGGAATATGAGCCAGCTGAATTGGTCGGGAAGGGCCTGTCAGCAGTGTGCCATCCCAGCGATATTGGTTCGGTCATTCGCGATCTACGAGCGCGCATCACCACCGAGCCGGTCAGCGTGGTGTATCGCATCCGGAAGAAGTACAGCGGGTATATCTGGTTTGAGAGCCATGGGTCATGGCATATTACCGGTCGGGGGCGACAGTTCATGGTGCTTGGAGGGCGAGCGCGTGCGGTGTACAATCTTGACCAGGTTGCTACGATTGGCCGGGGCGGGTTGGCGGAGAATGACATCTGGGCCAAGCTTTCAATGTCTGGGATTGTCCTTTTCATCTCTTCAAAAGCTAGGCCGGTTCTAGGTCGGGTGGCGGACGATGTCATTGGAAAGAGCATTCAAGATCTCACGGGAGCAGATACCCGGGCCCAGGTTATGGAGGCGCTGGACACAGCTCGTTCGGGACAACAGGTCTCATTTCTCCACAAGGTCCGCCACAAGAAGGGGCATATGCTGCCCGTGCAGACGACGTTAATACCGGGAGACAGCAAAGAAGGGGAGCGACCTTCTTTCCTGGTCGCTCAGTTACGTTTCCACCGACCTCTGCCGAACGGCAGCCCGGACGACACAAGCTCCAGCGCCACGGACACAGGGCGAGACGTTGCTGGACAGACAGGGTCAAGCAGCCGGTTACCCTCCGGTAATCAGGAATTGATCCCACTACGCGAGCGCAGCCTCTTCTCCGAGCTAGCACCGACCAGGGGGTCCAGTTGGCAATTCGAGCTACGAGAACTGGAAAAGCAGAACCGCACATTATCGGACGAGGTACAACGACTCCTCACACGACGGAAAAAGCGCAAGCGCAAACAGAGCACAATCATAGTGGAGAAGAGCTGCGCGATGTGTCGAACGAAGAGCACGCCAGAATGGCGACGCGGACCCAGCGGCAATCGTGACCTCTGCAACAGTTGTGGCTTACGATGGGCAAAGCAGGTCCGCAATGCTGCACAGGGACAGACTACAGCAGCCCGAGGGAAACGGGCGTGATGATTCCTATGTTATATTACCCCTTTTTTTATTCTATCTCTTGGGTGGCTTTCTACGTTTTAGTGTGTGGCTGTCTGACTTGAATGTGATTTGAGTATGTTGAGCATTTTCGCTATATATGATACGATGATACCTTGTGGGACTTGCTGGATTTGGGGGGTATGAGAATGGCGTGACGAGTCACGATGAATGGATGGATGGCGTCGGGGAGGATTCTGTGGACTTGATCGGAGGTGACCTGTACAGTGTGTATTAGCTCTCTTATATGCTATGCTATCTAGGATATCAGTAAGTACTGATCGGGATTTATCGGTGATATGCCGGCAAGCCCTGTTAGCCCTGTGGCAAGATGACGAGTCAAAAATGATCGATACTGTCTTGATTGACTAATGTACATATATGCATGCAGATATATCCACATCCACCAACCCCATCTATCCATATGATACACATAGCAGTGAGTAGTATACAGAGGAGAGACAAGGCGAATTACATCAACCCTCCTCCCTACAGAACAACCCATCTAATTCCCAGCAACCCACCTCTCCAACCACCTCCTCTCCTCCCTCTCAGCCTCCCAACCCTCCCTCACCCCCCCAACACCAACCCCCACCCCACCCCTCTCCTCCACCGCAATGCGCACCTCCTCCGCCTCCATCCCAGCCACGCCCCCACCCCTCCGAATCAACTCATCATCACACGCCAAATACTCCGCATACCGTCTCAACCTCCCCCGATACACCACCCGGACCAACCACCCCGGTCTCTCATACGACCTCGCCAACCCCAACACCGCACAAGCCCGCATCACCTCCCCAGCCCCCGCACCCTCAATCCAACTCCTATCCACCATCCGCTTCAACACCCCCATCTCCTCCACAGACCCAACCCCAGGCGGCGTCACCGACCCCGTCCCAACAACCAACGCCTCCCGCTTCGCCCGCGCCCGCTTCTCCCGCTCTTTCTCTAGCTGTCGCGGAATCCGACACGTCAGCGGCGTGATCGCATTCCCCAGCGCAAGCACAGCCAGGGGCGTGAGTTCTCCGCAGATGATCAGGATGAGCGAGAAGGGGATCATGCGGCGGATGTCGTGCGCGGAGCGCCGGAGGAGTTGGAAGTGTGAGCGGTGGAGGTCGTTCGTTTGTAAGGTCTTGTAGAATGGAGTGCTGCTGCTGGCATTCTTGGTAGCTGGTGGTGGTGGTGGTGGTATCGTGCTCGGGATATAGGGTGAGAGGTTCAGGGTCCGTCGGAGAGGGATCGCGGCGCGGTAGTTGTGGTAGACGTTTTTTAGGCCTGTTTTGTAGAAGGTGAGGTATGCGCGGCCGATGGTGATGTAGCGTTTTAGTTTGGAGGATGGGGGGAGAGAGGTGTTTGGGGAGGGGGTGGGTGGGAGGGCGAGGGAGGCGGGTCGGGTGCTCGGGGGTGGGTTTAGGGTGGTGAGGATTATTGTGGAGGTTGATGTTGATGGTGTGGTTGGGGTGGTGGTGGGTTGGGCGGCGGAGGAGGGGCGTGTGTGGGATTTGGTGTTGGATTTGTTGGAGTGTGAGGCGTAGGAGCGTGTTGAGAGGAGGGTGTAGTTGTGGTGAGGATGTTGGTGGTGGAAGAGGCGAGATGCGATGGTCGTGGTGAGTTGGGAATGCGGGCAATTGAGGAGAGCCCGTGGGGGGTGCAGCGCGGGTGACATTGCGCTGTAAATTGTATTGGATTGAACGGTCCAATTGATGGGTGTAATCTATGTAGGGTTGAAGAGACAGATGTCAAGAGGAAGGAAGAATTGGAGATGAAATGAAGATCCGACGAGATTCCGGGGAGATTGGTGTGGGTGCCTCAGGCAGAAAGGAATTACCTCGGCTCCCCGCGGGGACCGATGTTAGTATATCTATACTAGCTCTTTAAGAAATACTAGGTGAATGGATAGATCTTACAGATAATTACAATGGTTAGTAGAGTGATACCTACTGTTAGTATTAGTAGATGTTGTGTCAAGTCCAATGTCGGACAGATGAAATTTCGGAGGGTTTACCAGCAACATTGGGACTAGTTCAACAATCATGTAACTTAACACATGATATGTTACTAGTATCTAGTATATAATTATTACTTTATACGATCAAGATAGTGACTCACAATCACAGTTCAATTGACAACTACATTACTACATTACTAGTAGTCCATGACTCACCACCTCACTAGCAAGCAATACTAGTACCCCACTAGTAGTCTAGATTACTACTATATAATAACATACTACTCCCACACGCTCTTCACCACCACCACAATGTCCCAACTAACATTCACCCAACCCACCGCCCTCCTCCTAATCGACAACCAAAACGGTTTCACCCACCCAACCCACTGGGGTCCATCCCGCTCCAACCCCAACTACGAAGCCAACATCCAATCCCTCCTCACCACCTTCCGCAACACCCTCACCACATCCCCATCTCCATCATTTCAACAACAACATCATCACCACGAAATAATCCACATCTTCCACTCCTCCACAACGCCCACCTCCCCCTTACACCCAACCTACACCACTCCCACAGGAGAGCAAGGCATCGACCCCCTCCCAATCTGCAACCCACTTCCCACCGAGAAACAGATCTGGAAACATGTCAATTCCTCATTCATTGGCACCGAACTGGAAGAATATCTCCGCGAGAAGGGGATACGGCAGTTGATTGTGGCCGGGTTGACGACGGATCATTGTGTGTCGACGACGGTGCGGATGGCGGCGAATTTGGGGGTTGTTGATAGGGTTAAATCATCAGAGGATGAGGAGGAGGACGTGGATAAAGGACGGATTATTCTTGTTAGTGATGCCACTGCTACGTTTGCCAAGGGGGGATGGGATGCCGAGACGGTGCATCAGGTGTCGGTGGCGAGTTTGGATGGGGAGTTTGCGGAGGTGAGAGGGGTGGGGGAGGTGGTGAGGGCGTTGGAGGAGTATTCTGCTTCGAACTAGATCTTATATATAGAGGGTGTGAGATTTATGATGATGGTGTGGACGTAGGATATGATTATCACAAGTCACTGATTAATTGATAGCTACATTACAGGGTCACATCCACCGCAACCATACCCTCTGAAACGAATCCCGTCACGAACAGTCTCGCCTTCTTCTGCTGCTCATCTGGCAACGGAACCAGCACCGCCGCGCTGGCACTCCGGATGCGTGATCCATCGTCCTCAAAAAGCAGCCGGGTCTCCCATTCCGCGGACGAAGTACCAGCCTTGCGCCGCGTATACCACACCATCGCGCCGTCCTTGCCTTGATGATCAGTGCGCGTCTTGTCCAGGTCTACGCCGCGGAGTAGTCCAGCCTGGACATATCCGCTGGCATCGTCTGTGGCCGTTGCGTACGGGTCCCGGTAGTAAGTGGGATTGTCAATGGTGCTGTCAAAGGCGAACTCATCCACAACCGACAGCGTGCGGTCATCCTGCGGCCGCATACGCCACATGTAGCCGCCCACGGCGCTGGTGAGAAGCACTTCCTCGCGCGACGAGCCACGTCCGAGACCGTTGGCGTTCCAGATGTGCTCGAAGGCCACAGTTGCCTTGCGCTCCGTGTCAGCTGGGACCGCGGCGAGACTGTCGACTTGGACGTGGATGACAGTGGACCATTTGGCGGCGGGGAGTATGTTCTCGACCGCGCGGAAAGCCCCGTCGCGGTAACGGTGGTCGTTAGTGACGTAAAATGAATAAGGACTTTCGGCGTAGATGTCGTTGGGGGTGGCTACGAGCGGATGACGGATTGAGCGGACATGCCGGACGGTGCCGGAGTGCAGGACATGGTGGAAGAGCTCGACCTGCGAGCGGGCCTTGGGGATGTCCTTGAGGCCGGGGTGATAGTCCGGGTTGGCTAGGTGGTTCACGGCGAAGATGTAGACGGCGTCTGCGCGCTCCGGATCCTCAGTAACGTCGATGCCGTGGGTGATGAAGGGGCCGGGGAAATTCTCGAATGTGAGACGGGTCGATTTCAGTGTCTGTCAAGCTGGATTAGTTTCTGGTAGCTAAATAGGAGTTGCACAGGGACACCTACTTGGGGGTCAATCACATGAATAGACCCAGTCGTGTCTGCAGGGCCTTCAAAGTTGACCAAGGGTGGAAACCAGCGGAACCGGGGCACAATCGAGTCCTCGCAGGCCGTAAAGAGCTGACCAGACGGATGGTGATAATGCAGGTCCTCGCATTGGATGGTATCAGCAATTGGGTGGACAGGGTTACTCTGGGAGCTGCTTGTCTCGCTGGCTGAGCGGAATGCCCCCAGCACTTTAAGCTGGCGGGTCACTGGTCCATACAGCGAGGCGAACAGGACGGCGATAATCGCCAGGTTGATATAGTTTTTCATCGTGATCAGCCTGTTGATGAGTCGACATGTAATGGGGGAGAAAAAGCAAAAAGGACGAAGAAAAAGCAAACAAGGGAGGGGGGGAAGTACTAGGGAGGAGAATCGAAAAAAAAAATAAAGCGGGGGGCCGAGGTTGGATGAACCGACCAAGTAGATACTCCTCTGTAGCATCATCCTCACCACCACATACTGGAAAATGCGGGGATTGACTTTGACCGAACCTGTCATTGGCGAACCAGCAGCTGGCCATCCTCCAACTGTGGACCGACCAGCCAGTCCAGCAGAGACGCCACTGAAGATCGTCGCGGTAATCATCCATGGGTCGGGGTCGGAGTTACGGTCCAAGCTCCTAGTACGAGGTGGACGGAAGTGAGTGAAGTAAAGTAGAGAAATGAGTGCATACATTCAAGCCTAATGCAGAGCTTACAGCCAATTCATCCTTCCCAGGGTTTTCCTTCGCCCACACGCAAATCAAGCTAAGTTAGCAAGTATTGAAAATCACACGCAGATTATTTCATCCTGTCCGATTGAAAAAGAACTCCTTTGTTTCCCCGTCCAAGAAATCCGTAACTCATGGCCGCCGTCTTCGCTTAGCGCTGAGACTTGGCCTCCAGATATTCCTGGTCACTGGCGTCCAAGATGTCGTACTCCTCGTCCGTCAGCATACCCGCATCTGTCTCGTCCTCGCCCAGTGTCAGACTCTCCATGTCATCAAACACATCCTGCTCCGAAGCATTCGTCACCGACGGGGCGCTGGGGGCCGTGGTGGCCGCCTCGTGTGTGCTGGTCTCCGGAGACTCCTTGGCCAGCTTGGGGAAGATCATCTGGCTTCCTGCAGGCTCCGACTGGGCCTCTGGCTGAGGCTCGACGGTCTTCTCCATCTCCGGTTCCGGTGCACTCACAGCGGGCGGCGGAACGTCATCACGCACGCGCACGTCACACCACAGCCGGTGACCAAAAGGCATGCCGCTGGGCAGCTTCAGCCGCCAGTACGAGATGGCGCTGCCCTGGCGGCTAGGGGTCCTGAGTGTCACGGTAAAGTCCGCACTGTGACCTGGCTCAAGCGGCTCCGAGAGCTTGTTGCTCTCCATGGCAGCCGAGATGGCATCCATGCTCAATGGGTGGCTGGTATTTACGTTGAACATCGAATCGCCTCCGACGAACCGCACATCCGTGCCGGCAGGCCAGCTCAATGGGCCGGGGTTGAAGAGGGTCCAGGTCTGCTCAAAGGCGGTGTTGGGCGGCAGCGTGGTGTCATCCGGCACAGTGTCCCGGATGAAGAAGGCTTGATAGCCCGAGGCCGGGTCAGCTGATGTCGGCTGTTCGACCTGAACCGGCTGTTGTGCAACGGGAGTCGGCTGTTCCACCGGGGCAGGCTCTTGGATAGGCTCTGCTTCCGGCTTGGGTGTCTCCTGAACCGGCTCGACCGGGACGCTGGCTTGGGTGGAAGTGGATTTCTGGGCACGGTCGCCCAGGGCGCAAGTGGCTCCACGGTCTTCGTGGACAGTGCTAACAGAGACGTTGTGCACAGGTGTCTTCAGCATGACCATGGGGTGAGTGCGGTTGTGAGTGTTGGTCGGGTGCACCTCACACTTGGCGCAGAAGTCCGTGTCGTGACACACAGAGCACTTGTAGCGAGTGCCTGTGATGAAGCTAGGGCATGGCCTGTTCCTGCACAGAGGGCCGTCGCAGTAGATGCCGTAATGCACCTCATAGCTTTGCAGGGGCTCGGCGATTGCGTCATAAATCGGCGCAAACCGATGACCCGGGTGGTTTTGGGCTGCCTCCTGGTGACACTCCGAGCAGTAGTCCCAATCTGGGCAGGCCAGGCACTTGTGCCGGACGCCAATAATACGCTAAGGCAACGGTTAGCATTGAGGCAGTCAAATAGAATAGTTCACAACCAACCTTTTCACACCCGTCGCAGATAGCTGCGTGGTGGTGGTGACGTCCAGGCTTGCAGCGAGATTGCACCAGACTCTTCAGGCAGAACTGACGATCATGAAGCAGCTTGAAGGTGTGGGCGGGGTGATGGCCGTGTGTGTCTCTGAGGAGACAAGTGATGCAAATGTCATAGTCATCGCAGTCAGCGCAGGAAACCATCTTGGTTTCATCGAGTTCTGTTGGAGTTAGTAAATAGTGACAACCTCCTGTAGAGGGAAAGGACATACCTTTCAGGCAATCATTGCAGATGCGTTCCTGAGTGCTTTCAGGAAGTTCGGGAGCAGCAACAGCAGGGACTGGAGTAGTCTCAGACACCAGCTCTGGCACGGATTCCTCGAAGGTCTCTTCTTCTTCCTCTTCTGGTTCAGGCTCCTCACGAGCCTTGCGGGGCTGAACCGTCTCCGTGGTGCTGTTGGTGACCTGGCCGTCCTTGACAAGACGTTTAATCAACCAGTGTTCGTCATCCAGACAAGCCACACCGGCCTCGACACACTGGAGACACAAGTCGTAGTCGCCGTCGTCACAGATGCTGCAATGATAGTGCTCGTTCGGAATGGAGCGGCCGCAGTGATTGCAGTCAATGCAGAAGACCCCATTGGGCGATGCGTGCGACACCACTGGCATGTCCAAGCTGTCCTGACCCAAGACGAAGTCACGGAACTGAGGCTCAGTCGTCTCAGGGGCCGACCACTGGGCGGACCGAGACTCAGCAGGGATGGTGCCGTTGGCGACCTCGGGCAGAGCCGAGACAGATAGGGACGCACTAGCAGGAACACTTTCAACTTGAGACTCAGGGAGAGGAGCACCCAAGACAGTCTCGAGGTAACTGTACCTTGACGCATTCTGTTGTTCGGGGAGGTCTGCAGCCAGCTGTGGCTGGGAGCCGGGCTCCTCAACCGTTGTGGCCTTGATCCGCAGCTTCAGTTTAGCCTTGGCAGCGCGATAGAGCTGCTTGTAGACAGCAGGGTTCTCGCTATCTAGCTGAATATAGCAGCCGGCGCTGTCGGAATAACGTTCAAAGATGACGTTAGCATCTTCGGGAACGCCAAGGAGCTGGCGGAGCTGTTACAGATAAGAGACGTCAGCATAAATTGCGAAATCGTTGCGATATTGCCATCCCGTATTATTTTTATCCCCTTGCACAGAAATGATTCGCAGGTGACGCTGAATAAAAAAAAGAAATATTCCATCACACATATGGAGCAAGGAGGTGAACACGTGAGCACACTCAGTTGCATTGAGGAAATAAATGATGGGGGGTGGCTATGATTTTTGATGGGGGGCCCAAAGGACCCGTAGCTCCGATCGGAGCTTGAGTGGGGACGAACATACATTCTGGGGAAGCGTGCGAGCTCCGAGCTCTCGCAGAGGAAGCTTGAAGCGTCGAGTATTTTCATTGTAGAGCACTTTGACGGTGATGAGAGAACTGGGGCCCACGGGAGCCGTTGCGGGTGTAGGAGAAGCCATGGTGTCCAGAAGGATGATTGCTTCTTCCTGTTGCTCTGGCTTAAAGTTCCCTCTGGCGTGATTTAAGCAGGGATTCCGAGAGATAAGCAAAAAAGGACGCTAATTCGGGAGCGGTAAGCTAGGCGATGGATGGTAGGAAGTACGTCAAGCCAGTGATAGATAACGGTGAGAGTGGTGTTTGTCCCCGTTGGAAGGTAAACGAGGAAACCCGAATGGAAAGGATGGGTGAGATGGGGTGTAGTTTTTA